CCGGTGACTCCAACACTGAGATTTTCTTCTCCACACCCCCACGCTCTCCTCCAGACCCTTGGTTCAAATCCTGGCTCTGCCCTTTAATATCTGTGTGACCTCAGGCAAGTGGCCTCACCTCCTGTGCCTCAACTGTAAAATAAGCATACTACTACTTCACAGGGTGAGTGTGAGGATTAAGTGAGTTAATGTATGAAAAGTTTTTGACTCAGTGGAGGGCTAGACAGCCCTCCTCATCCCCCTCCTCATCCCCCCTCAGGGCTGACTCACTCCCAGCAGGGAGGAAGGAAAGCTGTTCCCTGAGTCATTTCCTATTCCCCTCACCTCCCACACCCCCCACCTCACCCCAGGTCTAGCATGTAGCCCCACCAGGCACAGATAGGGAATTGGGCCTGCTTGTCCTCTCCAGGGCTCAGGTGGGCACCTCCTCTGGGCTTCAGGATCCCAGGGAAACTGGCCTGATGAAAATGACACCTGAAGTGACATTACATGCTTCAGGCTGGCAAAGGGGATGATCACCTGCCACCTAGGGGTCCTTCCTGCAGGGGTCCCTCCCAGGGGGTCCAGAATTTAAATAAGTACTGTGCCTGGCACATAAAAATTCTCATTATTATTGTTGCTGTCATCACTAATGTTTACAGCCTGCACAGAGGTTGTGGGCGCCCTTGGACCCTAAGGTCCTGTCCTGAAGTGGCCTGGAGGGGGGACTCTCAAGTGACAGAGCCGCAGAGGTCCAGCGGCCTGCCCGGAAACTCCTGCAGCATAAGGCCCGTCTGGAGGGAAGGTGCCCAAGTTGGACTCCTGGGGTGATGTCAGGCAGCTGACTCACCGGGTCCCAACCTCCGTTTTCCATTGGCCGAAAGGGGGTTTTGGGAAGTTCATAATGGACTAAACAGGAAAATCGCTTCGGTGCCGGCGCTGTGAACCTTAACCCGTGGTCGTCGCGACTCTGAGGAGGGCGGCTCGGGGTTTCCATCCCTGGGTTGGTGCCCTTGCTGGAGGGGGCCGTGAGGACGCCACAAGCCAGATGTGCGGATGTGGCCCGTCCAGCGGTGGAGGGGGCGGCCCCGGGCCCCGGAAGAGCTTCCCGGGTTAGAACGGGCGGGTGGCGCGCCTGGACCGGGTTCCGGCTGCTGGTCGCCAGGCTGTCCTTTCCCCACTTCGGGTAGTACCTGCGCCGGCGGGTTCACCTGCTCGCCGCTGGCCGGAAGTTGCGCAAGCGCGCGTTACCTGAGCCCCAGGTGGGCCGGGCGGGCGGAGCTCATTGCGGCGGGGGCGCGGGCGCTGTCAGGTACGTGTGAACCGGGTGGCGGGTTCCGGTGGGGGGCAGCTCGGGCACCTCTCCCTTCCCGGGAAAGCGGGGACTTGGCGGGGTTCCCGTTCCTGCCTGGACGACACCGCAGGGATCGTGCTGGTAACCCCCTTATTTCAAAGCCAGGCCCACCTGGACTCCTCGAGGGCCCGTCGGGGCTTCGGTCACACCGGGCCGCTGGGCTCGCGGACTCCTCCGCCACTGGGCGTCCCCCAAATTACCCCGAAGTTGGGAAGGGCTGGAGGTTCGCCGCGGCTCGAGCTCCACTTCCCGCCGCAGCCTCCTGAGGTTGATCCCGAGGGAGCCGGTGTGGAAGGGGCCAGGTGGGGCCGCAGGCCCGGGGGCTGCCGCCGAGAAGGCACCAGGCTGGGCCGGGGCCAGTGCATTTGGGGCCATTCATGGGGAGCGTTTGAAACCCGTGGGAGGGTGGTTGCGCGGTGCGAGGCGGCTTCCGAGAGGACCTTGAGTCCCGCCTCGGCACTGGGACTCTGACCTCAACTTGCAGGAGCTGCCGCCCCTCCTTTTGCCCGCCACTGAAATGGGTTTTTGGGGTCAGCTCGCGGGGTAGCCTCTGTCGTGTGCCTCCTTTGCTCGCGACTCTGCCTCAGGCCCATCTGGGGCGTCTTTAGAGACCCCCGCGGGGGCTGGGCGCTCTGCGCAGCTGGGTCCTCAAAATCCCAATAAAAAGTAAATAATCGGAGGTGCAGCGCGGCCTTTATGCCAGGTGCTGAGAGTCCCCGGCCTGTTTTATCTTCCAGCCTTGCGGTGACCTGGAGGCTCAGGAAGGTCTATTTTTAACTACCTTTCACAGATAAGGAAATCGAGTCTTTGTGCGAGGCGCAGCTGCTTGCGCAAGGCGCGCCGCGGGCGGCGGCGAGCCCCGGGCGAGGGTGGCAGCGGGGGAAGCCGGCGGGCGCTGCGCGTCTGTTCCCGCGGCGTCGGGGGCGCCCCGGGGCCGCCGGCTGGGGCCAGAGCGGTGGGGGCTGCGCTGGGGGCGCGCGGGGCTTCTGCCGGGGCCCTGCCCGGCTGACCTCCTTCCCTCTCCTTCCCCGGAGGGTGACGGGAGGGGACCGCGGTCGCCGACGGGTTGGACTGGTTTGGGAGGCGGCGGCCCGGGGTGGGGCGCAGGGCTAGACTGCCTTTCCTGCCAGCCTTCCCGGCCGCGGCCTCCTGGGCGCGTGGCCCCGAGTGGGGCCACCTTCCTCTACCCCCTACTCCATCTCCTCTGCCCGTGGCCCTGGCTCTCTGGACCACAGACCCCAAGGTTCTCATCTCAACTTGCCATCTCTGCAGAGGTGTCAGACCAGGCTGGGGGCCGGTGTGGGGGTGGATACGTTAGCCCCATATCTGTAATGTTTTAAAAATTACAGCCAGGCACGCCAAGGTTAGGAATCTAGAATGTCCACGTGCTTTTGGATCTCCAGCATCCTAGGACTCGCTACACGTTCCATCTTGGGGATCTTTGCAGGAGGCTGGATGTGCTTTCTCTAGTTTATTCCCATTTGCCCATTTCTTTTTGTTGGACCCCCCCTCCACTCCAGTTCAGTAAGTTAATTGGTTATGTGTCAAAAACACTATTTTGATTATATGTCGAGAGCGATATTTTGAAATTGAGGTACAGTGAACAAAACAAATCCCCTGCCTTCATGGAGCTGATATTTTAGAGGAGTGGGAACAAGAAAGAATAAAACTACCGTCAACTTCATAGATGAGTGAATTGGGTTTCATATAAATCGGCCCTGGGATGTAGGTCGGTCACTTCTGAGTCTTTCTCCATCTGTGAAAACGAGGTGACAGTGACCCATTTCATGGGTCTTTGGAGAATTTGAGGAGAGGATGGTGTCAAGTGTCTGGCACACAGCAGATGTCTGCCATTACCTTTCCCCAATCCAGAGTCTCCCTGCGTGAATTCCGGATGTCTAGGCAAGACTTCAAATTTAACTTTCTGCGGTGGATGGAATGTTCTAATCCTTGCTGGCTGCATGTGACTGCTGAGCACTAGAAGTGCAGCTGGCATGATCCAGGAACTGAAGACGTGTTTGTTTAATTTCCATTTAAAGTTAAGTCTGAGTGGCCAAAAAGGGCCCTTGTCTGTCGAATTAGACAACACAGATCTAGGTGGCCTGAATTACAAAGACTTTTGGAGGCGATCTTGATAAAGCCCTCTTCCCCTGTTTTATAGATGGGAAGGTACTTGGTTTATGGGTTTTCTTCTGGTCCATCTCCAGGCTGGCTGTGGTGGGCTGCACTTTGTGGCCCCAGCCCTTTCTTGGAATATGTGATGGGGTGGCATGATGTTGGGGTACCAGGCCCTGATGCTTAGGTGAGCACTTGTGCACCCCTCCTGTGTATGGGTGCCCATCCTGTGTATGGGTGCCCATCCTATAGCTGCTGGCAGAGCAACAGTTTGATCTTGGGCAACTGTGTGATCTTGGGCATTTCCAGCACCTCTTGGGGCAATATAGCTCAGGGCTGAGGTTTCCATTTGACAGGCACTTGCACTCTGGGCCTGGCATTGGAGTCCCTTACTGGCAACTGACGGGTGTCTACTCAGCTGGGGCGGGGGAGGGGATTTTCTGCACTCCTCCCGAACAAGCTCTGCTGCTGTGCCTGGGGCCTGGCATGTCTAGGCGGGTGGATGGCACAGGGCAGCTTCCTGCCTGGTCAAATGAAAGGTGGAGGTGGTACTAGGCTCTCTGTGGGCTGGCCTGTTGGGGGATGGCATTGGAGTCCTTTTGTTATAGGGCAGTCCCGATACAAAACGGGGTGCCTGACTGTGGGTCCTCACCCGCGCGCTTAAAAGGACTTATCAATGCTCTACTGCAGGCACACACGAAAGGCTAATAAAAGGTTTATTTACAAGGGAAGGGCAAATGAGGAAATGTACAACTCAAGGAGAAAAGTGGGAGACAAAGTTTTAAATGCGTCCTACCCGATCCACCGATCAGGAATCCCAAAATGGCACTCTGAGAGCTGCCCGTGAGCTAGGAGCCGTGGAGCCAGGAAGTGAGCGAGAGAGCGAGCCCCCCAAGGCCCACGTGTCTGGTTTTTATACCAAACCTGGCTGCTTAACTCCACCCTCAGGTCCCAGCCACCTTCCACCTTCCTTTTGGTGGTGACGGGATTTGTCTTTCCCAATGTCTTGATGGTTTTGGTCTGGAGTGGGGGTGGGGTCCACAAAGCCTGCATGGAATTAGCTCAGGACATCCTTTCCCCCTGACAATTTCTTTTGGTCACCTAACCCCAAGATCCTTGCATTAGCACCTCCCTGCTTGGAGGCAAGGGGCGGTCACCAACTTGCTGGGTTAACTTATTAACTTGGTTGCCTCCCATCTGCCAAATGGAGCTGTTAAGAGACCCACTGAAGTTAGGCCCCTGGTGTCTCGCCCAAGGCCGGGAGTCCACTTTGCTTCCTTTAAAAAGCATGCCTTGCCTGTCTGTTTTGCTCAGACTGCCCTTGTCTTTGGCACCTTTTTTCTCTTTGCCTCATCAGGGTCTGGTCCCTAAGGAGGGTGGGGGTGTGGGTGGAGCCACAGACACTTCTTTGGTTGCGTCTGCCTGCTGACTGGCCCCTGTGAATAAGGGGCGTGGCCTTTACCTTTTAATAGCAAGGCTTCTTTTGGGCTCTTCCAGTCTCTGCCTGAGCCTTTGTCTGAGCAAGCTCAGCCCCTCTCTTTTCTTCTCCTAGCAGCCGTTGCTGGTGTCCAGCTGCCAACTTTCTGTCTGGATCTCGGGCTCCTCATTTCTCCAGTCCCCTTACATCGCAGCCCTCAGGATATGTAGCAGCCATGCCTGTGGACACCCTGACCCCTGGAACTCGGGATCCTCCTGCCCTACCTTTTCGCCTGCGAACTAAAGTCCCTGGTTACCTGCTAAGGCGCCCGACAGACGGTGGAGCCCGGAAACCTAGTGCTGTGGAGCGGCTGGAGGCTGACAAAGCCAAGTACGTCAAGAGCCTGCACGTGGCCAATACACGCCAGGAACCTGTACAGCCCCTGCTGTCTAAACAGCCACTCTTCAGTCCTGGGACTCGCCGCACAGTGCTCACTCCTAGCCGCCGAGCCCTGCCTGGCCCTGGCCGCCGACCCCAGCTGGACCTGGACATCCTTAGCAGCCTCATCAACTTGTGTGATAGTCCCGTGTCCCCTGCCGAGGCCAGCCATACCCCTGGACAGGCAGAGGGAGACCACCAGGCACCCCCAGCCACCTCCCCACGCCCGCCACCTAGTACTGCTGCTGTCCGCCGAGTGGATGTCCGCCCGCTGCCTGCCTCACCTGCCCAGCCCTGCCCATCTCCAGGCACTCCTATGGCCTCCAGCCCAGCCAGGACCCCGGGTTTGCAACGCTCCAAGTCGGACCTGAGTGAGCGCTTCTCAAGGGCAGCAGCTGACCTTGAGCGATTTTTTAACTTTTGTGGCCTGGATCCAGAGGAGGCACGGGGCTTGGGGGTGACCCACCTGGCAAGGGCCAACTCAGACATCGTGTCCCTGGCTGGACCCAGTGCCGGGCCGGGCAGCTCTGAAGGGGGTTGCTCCCACCGCAGCTCTGCCACTATTGAGGAGCGGGCGCGGGAGCGGGTCCCCTATGGTGTGTCCGTGGTGGAGCGCAATGCACGCGTCATCAAGTGGCTGTACGGGTTGCGGCAAGCAAGGGAGACCCCAGCAGCTGAGGGCTAGATCTCTGGATTCGGTATTCACCACCAGACAGATCTCAGAGAGGCCATTCTCGGACCCTTCCTGCACCTTTTCCCTGGCTTGGGGCAAACGCGTGCCAGCTGCCGTGTATGAACTTGGCTTGGAAGCAAAGGCTCAGGCTGGACCAGCGTCCATCTGGCAAAGACTGACCCTGGAAAAAGTTGCCTCTTGGTCTTGGATGCCCCTTGCTGTCCCCCTCATCTGTAGGGGTTTTGACATGAAGTGTACCCCTTGCTTGGATCCTCTTGTGGGTTTGGATTTGGGGCACTTATTCCTCACCACTGAGGGTGAGGGGGCCAAGGGATCTTGCCAGGCCTATCTACCCAGTGGCTCTGCTTCCTTCTTCCTTCCTTGGTCTCTGTCATTGGCTGACTTCCTTTTTCTTGCTCAGTGGGTCCTGGTTACCTGGAACTGAACCCTGGGGTGGGGACAAGGAGGAGTGGCCTCTCCACCTCTCTTCCTGGTTTTTGGCAACCTGGCTGGGGAGCCGGGGCTATAGGAGGGACTGGTTGGCAGTCTGCACTCCTTTTGGTTAATAAACACACATGCTTGTTTTTCAAGGACGACCATCAGACTGTTTTGTGTTTCTAAGGAGGATAGGGTGGGAGAAATCTTGGGGTAGGGCCTTCAAAACTTAGTAATTGTCCACCTGAGGATCTGGTGGGGCATGAGGTCAGTGGCTAGAGTGGCTTGAGACACCACTCTGGGAGGCAGTTGCGCCTCTTTCAACGAGGAAGAAATGGGATCTAGCCAGAGTGAGAACAGAATTGGGACGAGGCCTGGGGATCTTTTCCCTTCTACAGGAAGCGGCCCTGCAGAGGAAAGGTGATGAGCGCATGGATCCTCCCCTACCACGGCTGTCTGTCCTCTCCTACTCCCTGTCCAGTTCCTAAGGAAGCTCCGGGCCAACCTCGAGCTTTTGAGGATTCAGGGTTGAAAGTGGGAGTTTTTGGAGGAAGGGGGACTTGGGATAGAGACTGCAACATGGGTGGTCTTGTCTCCAACTCTAGGTGGCCCTGGACAGGCCAGTCTCCCTCTCTGAGCCTCAGTGGGAGAGTTGGATGACAGTCTTCTTTGGGTTGGGAAAAAAGGGAGCTGGCATTGTGAGGTCTCAACTCCTTCCAGTTTCCCTCCAGGTTAGCTACCTGCTAGGACACCCCACCTTGGTTGGTGGAGTACCTGGGGCTAGGGCTGGGTGCACAAAGGATGAAAACCTGGGTGGCCTCTGCCGGCCCTGGGGTGGGAGGGGCTGGGAGGTGCTTCCTCTCCCAAAGGCTGTCTTCGCTACAGCACTCAGAAACAGGAAGCTCTAATGGGGGCCCTGGTGACAGGTTTGATGTAGGTTTTATTTTAAGCATAAAGAGGAAATTTCCACTGGGCTATTGACCAACATCCAGGTCAGTCCAGCTGTCTGTCTGATAGTCCACGACCAGTGTCCAGGGGACTGGACTGGGCCTGGGTTGTTGGGGGAAACAAGGGGAAATTGGGTCATAGAAGAGGATGGTGTTCAACTCACAAGAGTGGCATCTACCCTCCCCACCCTGTGACACAGATAAGGTACAAGGGGAGTGATGACCTGCCGCAGGTACCTGGCAGGTTTGACGATGCAGGAGCTGATCCTGGTCCCCATGTTAAAGGAGCGATGGGGACAATTTGGCAGGTCATGCAGAGGTGTAACCAGGCCAGAATTCTATGTTAAGCATTACCCCTTGCTGTGATCTGCCAGCTCCCCAGAAACCCAGAGTGGGTTTTGACTGTCTTTTACATGTGAGGAAATTGAGATTCAGGTCAAGGGGCTAGTGGCCGAGAGAGTTGGGAGATCCATGAATCCTGGAAGAGTTTCCCATGCTGGGCTCACACTCTTTTACACTATTCTTCATTGAACCTTTGAGGTGACCTTTCAAGGGTCACCTTAGAAGGTCATTTTTTGTCTGAATGCAGGGAGGGTAGTGGCTGGCGGGCTGTCAGAATAGGTATGCACTACAGCCTGGGGTCACACGACCTGCTGGACACCCCAGTGAGCAGCCTTGCTCCTTGATTCTCCTAACTTGTGCCTCACTTCCCCATCCTGGTAGCCTTTGCTCCCGGTCACTTTCTTGGGCACCTACTGGGTATCCAGCAGTCGATAAGACACACGTGGCCCCTGCCCTAGTCTCGGGGGAGGGAATGGGCAGCTAGGCGACAAGCATATCAATAGTTACATAATGTAGAGCAGATCTGATCAGGGATGTCTGCCCTAAGACCAGTGCTGTCCCCAGAAGCTGGGCCAGGAGGTAGCTGAAAAATGCATTAGGACGGACTGTCAGGAAGAGAGCAGGGAGGGATTCCTGAAAGTGGGGAAGGTGCCAGGCTTATCCTTGACTTTACCAACAGGGACTGTCTGGTTCACCAGGACTCTGGAATCTCCCAACCGCCCACATGGGCATAAGGGGTCGGGGGTAACAGCTAGGAGTTTCTTCTACTCCCCTCTATCCCCCATCCCAGCCTCTCAGCCTTGTAGACATTCAGAAACAGCCCCTCTATTGTTCTGCTTCTATTAGGAGTGCGAGGGGCAGCCCCTGCATCTCAGCCCTTCCGAGGGCCTGCAGCTGCTGCTCCATCCCCCGAGGCTGCCTGGCCTTCCTAGCAGCTCCCTAGGCCAGACTGGTCCCAGCTGCCTAGCCCCTAATTAGGTAGAGATGAGATCTGCTCCCCGATCTATTTCCCAGCAGCTAATTATATACACGTGGGCTTGGGAGACCGCCAACCTGGCTGCTCACTGCTGTCATTGAAGGTGTGATGGACCCCTGGGAAAGGTACCTGTCCCTCTTGTGGGACCTCAGTTTACCCTTTTGGAAGAGGATGGGAAGTAGCTAGAGGGCCAGTTTCTGTCCCTAGTGGACTGTGTCTGCTCCAGAGGCATTCAAGGGACTGGGGGGTCGGGCGGGGGAGGGAAGACCCCTATCCTACCTAACATTCGATGTCCAGGGAGAGTGGGGATAGACTGAGGATTAGGTCCCTGACTCCAGGATCCCAGGGCAGGGAGGAGGAGGCTCAGGTGAGAGCCTTGTGTTAGCTGCCCCAGGCGAACTGCACACTGCAGGGCTTGGAGTTGTGCGGGTCCTCCAGGCCCAAGACAACACTCCATACAGGTTTTAAAAATTTATTATTTTTCAGACAATGCACTCATGTATTTCCCAACACTTTATTAAGAAAAATTTCAAACTTAAAAGTTAAAAGAATTATACAGTAAGCACTTTTATACCTATTAAATGCACAGTTCTTAATACTTTCTTGGGTTTGTTCCATCAGGCCTATATCCATCCACTAAGGCAACTTATTTTCTGGGAAGCTTTTCAAAGCAAGTTGACTTCCCTGGTATGTCACTTTAGCATGCATACAAAGTGCCCCATAGTGTGCACACAATATAATGCATCTAATACAGTGCATAGAATATGGTGCACATACACTATATACACAGTGCCCCAGAGCAGGAGTATAGATGGAGTTCAATATTTGTTTATAGTTCCTTCTATTTTGAGGGGGAAGTAAGGTAAATTTATATACAGTGAAATATACTGTACCATTTGCCGAGTGTAGACAAGTGCATGCCGAACCCCAAACTCCAATCAGGATACAGAGCAGATCCATCACCCCAGCAAGTTCCCTCATTCCCATCTCCTGTCCATTCTTGTCCCCATCTCATGGGTCCATGCGTCTATATGCATTAAATAGTACTAATAAACATTTCCTTGTGCTGTCTGTCTGTCTGTCGCTCTCCCAGCCCTGCCTCCCCAAAGCAACCGCATTCAACCCTCCCAACTATTCCTTCTATAACATGTTTTTCCTTCTGTTTTCTTGATGAATATTAGGCAAATATTGACCGACATTCTGGTCTGCTGTCTTCATAGTATGACTGGACCTGAATCCAGCCCTTCCCCTTTCTGGCCATAAGATCTTGGGCATATGAACTCCTTGTGCCTCAGTTCTCTCATTTGTACAGTGAGAGTAATAAGAATCTTTAAATTATTGGATTGTTATGTGAATTTAACACAAATGGTGCCTAGAATAATGCATATTATCCAGGAAGGGTAAGAACTTTCTTTTTATAATTATTATTTTTTTAAGATTGATTTATGCATACAAGAACTGGGGTGTAAGCCAGAGGTGGTGGGGGTGAGAGGGTTCGCCAGAGACACAGTGGGGAGCAGAACAGGCAGAGCTACTGAAATACACTGCTGAGGGGAGCAGTGGGTGAGGCAGGAGAGGTCTGCTGTGCCATGTGGGTCACCTCCCTGGCCGGCCAGGGATTGAACTCCTGCTGCAGTGTTTGGCTGGAGCTTAATAGCATTGTTTTTAACCCCTGCACCACCAGGGAGGCCCTTTTCATGATTATTGTCAAAGGACACTTAACTTTTCTCATCCTTCTCTCCTTTAAATCTACATTTATCATAATTTATCCTTTAAAAATACAGTAAATGAATATTTAATGTTTATATTGTGACTATATAAATATCGTGTCCTGCCAAGCCAAATTTCCTACTACAGTTGCTCATATTACAGTTCCTTTCTTGTGAAACTCTTTGCTCTTCCTGGAGTAACTACTTGCTTTGCTTTTCATTCAGTTTCCTTTTAATCTACCCTTAATTCTCTGACATCCTTAATTTCCCCATAGTTACGTACATAGAAGATAATTTACTGTTTCTAATTTCCTTCTTGAAACCCTTCAAGTGCTTTTTGACAGTCCCCTCCAACCCCTTAAAAACAAGTGGACCAATTATAAAAATAGCCTCAAGGATAAGTACAAGCTCTAAGATAAGCAGATACTGTATGCCTCTGTCCACGTGGGTCTCTCAGATGGAGAAAAATCGAGGCTGTGCCCCATTGCCAGGCCTTTCCATTTACCCACTGGTACCCTTCAACACTGTCTGCCACTGGTGCCAACCTCCAACTCAGTATGTACTCTCTGCTTATTCATCCACTCACCCAACAGTCTGCAGGGTCCTTTTCCATGCCCCACATTGCACTGGACTGTGCCAGGATGTAGAACTTGGGCAATGCCAACCCACTCATTCCCAGGTTGGCATTTGAACAGCTAGCAGTGGCCTGCATAAAGATGTGTGTGGGATTGAGTGATGATGGCTGGGTATGTGCATATATGACCTGTAATGGCCACGTGAGTCTGTGTGTGGGTGCAGACAGATTTTCTCTGGCCATTTTTGTATATTTATTGTACCTGTGTGTGTAGGTGTTGTGTGCACCATGCGTATTCGCCAGGTATGTGTATCAGTCTTGGGTAATAAACCACCCTAAACCCAGAGGCCTAAGACAACAATTTATTTGCCTATTTTTTTATGAATTGGTTTATCTGTTTGGGCTCAGTGGACAGTTCTGGTCTTATCCAGACTCATCCTTAGAGTTGCAGTCAGCTGGAGCTGGGTGGTCTTGGAGGGCCTCCCTCACGTGTCTAGAACTTGATGAGTATTTGCAGGGTGCCTCAGTTCACCTCTGAGTCTAGCTCAGGTTCATTCATATGGAAATCTGAGTTTATGTTCAGTAGGAGGGCATCACCCCTAAAGAACAAGTGCTTCTTTAAGTCTCTGCTTGTGTC